TTATATATACGTATTACATTTGATGTGCATATGTATATGTATATTATTGTATGTATATATCACACTATATATGAAATACAACTGGGTTGCATTGTGCTTATTAGACACTTATTAGGATGCACATCAAAGCAGGCAGAGGTTCATTCTATGGGTATCGTTTTTTGGGGGTAAAGACTGAAGGCTCAGCTCAAGGGCCCTATGAATTCCAAACAAACCTGTTGTGGTTTAACCAACAAACGTACGGTCTTTGCCAACCACGTTTGAGGTTTCATTTAACAATGTTTAGGATATTTTGAAAACAAGAAACATGGGAATATTGACCAACCACAAGCAATGCCAAATGAGGGATACCGGCTAAAGTGATCTAGTTTGGCTGTCAGGTTTGATCCCTGGAGGTTGCAAGAATGGGAGATGGACCAGCATTTTTCCAGGGGGTTGAGCCAGCATAACTTGGGGATATATATATATAACCCCCCAACATGATGAGGATATGTGTGCGGGTGTCAAAGTTTGAGTATACGAACAATGTACAGTAGATGCCCCAGAAAAGGTGTATCCTTTTGGGCCGAACTTGTGGTACCAAACCCTTGGGTGTCTTGGAGAATCTGCCCTCAAGGGTCTGTTCCAAAGCTCACAAAGCTGTATGTCCAATGCGCCCAGCTTCAAGACGGCTTGAACAAACCTGGCTGGCTTTCATATTTTTCAAGATGAGTTGAACCCGCGGCAAAAGCAAAAGCGGGAACTCGGAGTCCCTCTGGAGAAAGGGAAATCTTCGCATCCAATGGTTGGGGGTTCGGGTTCAGCCACCATGGAGACCTTTTGCCACTCCTCAGTCCCTAGCTGATTTTGCGGATAGCTTCAACTCTCGCGACCCCGAATCAAAGGATGCGCCGTTCGTTGATCGTCTCCTTCATCTTTGCTGATTCTTTTCAGATTTCGGTTGATACCATCCGAATCAAAACATAGCAATGGACCCCCCCATATAAATAAGTAAATAAGTAAATTACATAAAAAATACGTAGAGATGGTTTTCCCATTAAACCTCCATTTATCGGGGATTTTCCAGGCAACACCCTTTGGGCTGATAACCCGTTTTCTTGATGATCTCGTAGCTTTTGTTGCTACCTCCGAACTCGGTGTTGGTTAACATGGCTATCTAAAGGGTCCGTTGAGTTTGATGATTTTACCTATTACAAGTGGTGATTTTGAGGAGAAGGTAAATGTGACTGATCGGGGGGTTTTGCAACTACAGCTTATGGTTGTATTATATATATACTCAATTGGTATATTTAGTTGTATAAGTTATATATAGTTTTATACAGATTGAGTTGAGGTATAAATGATAATATATAATCTACATAATTAAAATAAGTCAGTTGGTATGGGATATAACCCCCATCAGTACATTCCATCGCCGCAAAGAGGACGCGCTGGCGAAGCCCTCCTACACCGTCCCTGGCGGAATTGGTTTTCAGTGCCAAAAAGATAGAAATTGCCAAAAAGTAGCGACCAATTGCCACTATTTGAGTAGGATTCTATTTCCATTCTATCTTTCAAAAGGGGGCTACTCAAAGGGAAAAAAACTGTGGGGTAAAAACCATGGTTTCGGGCGAAGAGTTTCCCAAGAAAACCAATCCATGACACAGTCTATCAGGTGGTTGCGGGTATCCACGCGTTCCCTAGAAATCTTGGGGAGGGAAGGAGCTACGAATTGAGTTTCACCACATGATAGTAATGTCGGATCCACCATAATCAATAGCGGAATAGGGAATCAAGCAGGGCTGGAAAATCCCCGATTTAGTTTGATGATTTTCCCATTGACATGTCATCTGGATCTCCCTGTTGGACATGATCAGTGGGGGCTATAGTTGGGGACTACAATAAATGACATCCGGTTCCAAAGCAAGGTGGGACTTGTTTGTGTGGATCCCCTGGGCTGGAAATCCCATCCAACCAACACATTTGAAGTGAGGTCTTTGACTTCTACTATAAGAGCCTTGGCGCAGGATGTGGAAGAATGCCATCTCCTGATATCAACTCCTCCGCAGACCCCAAAGTGAACAGATGACTTATACAGAGTGTTCTGGGTGTGATAGCTAGATCCTAGAACCAATCGAACTAGGAAAATCTTGGGAGAATGACCACCAAACTTGGGCAGCAACCAATGTGGCTCCAATGTGGCTCGTTTCCACATCTTGGCTCATCTCGGCCTTAGGACGGGGCTGTTTCAATGGATCGCCAAATCCCAAAGCTTTGAGACTGCCACGCTCATCATCATAGGCGCGGTGTCATCATAGGCGACTCTCTGGGACCTGAGTTTGAGAAACGAAACGAAAGAGGCCTGTCATTTATGACTCATGAGTACTGATTATTCTGTGACAATCCACAATTATACAATACAAAACACAACCCAGCAGTGAAATGAGTTGTTTTGGGGTTTGTTTTTGGAACATGAAAGCACACCCAGAATTGGATGACATTCAATAGTTTCAAAGAGGTTTTCCAGTGGCGTTTTACGAGTCTCCAGGTCCACTAGCACATACGTGGCACACCCTTGAGACGAGCATCAAAGTGGAGCTTTCTGGGGGAAACCCAGTCTTCCAGCATCCAAGTCTTTGAGGATCCAATACTTACTGGTGCTTAGGGAATGAGGGAATGATCCACAATCACTAGTAATAATCATCCCAGCAACCCCCATTCCCATCCATTCCCTACGTTTAGCTCCAGTAAGCAATAGGTATGTCTCAAAATCCAACTTCTGCTGGTTGCGGTTGCCAGGCTTCAACGCCTTGTGGCTGGCGCATGACACGAACAGTAACAACTCCAGCTCCCTCTTGGATGCAAGGCAGGGGCCTGTGGTAGCCCAACTGGTACCCAACAGGATGACGGATCAAATAGCCATGAACTATGTATGAAAAATGCCAATGACTGGGGATGAAGATCCATAAAGAGCACTATTTGAAGGTGAACCATGTTTGGGTACCAGTTGTATAGGGTTTTGACTATCATTTTCTCAATCTCCCATGAAGAACCACAGATGGGTTGATCGGTTGGCATTTTTGGTGGATGGATAGTTCCATGAAGGAACCACTACTCTATATGACCACAATCGCCTAAAATTAAATTTCTTGCAGGGTATCTAAGACTTAAAGATTTGCCATGTTGGTACGATAGTGATCGCGCAATAGATCGGGCAGTTTCTAGCACCCAACGGATAGACAATGGAACATAGTCACACCAAGCAAAAACATACTTCTTCGAGTGATCCCCAATCACTGACATTCTATCTGTCATATATTCTGACATATTATGACATTCTATCTGGCATTTTGTCTGACATATATTCTGACAGCCTATCTGCCATTCGATGTGATATCTTATCTGACATATATATACATATATTATTCTGACAGTCTATCTGGCATTCTATCTTTCATTCTATCTGACATTTTGTCTGGCAGATATTCTGGCATTCTATTTTTGCGTATGTTTGAGTTCGGGTCCATGCGTGCTCCACTGCATCCGGGGCTTGCATTTGGTGCCCGCAGTGCCCACGAGCTGGCAGTAGAAGAAGGAGGCGAAGAAGAAAAGGAAGGAAGGACGGAAGGAAGGAAGGAGTTGCACCTTTGTTAAAATCTAGAGAGCTTCATCTGGTAGGTTGGAAAAACACTTTAAACATGTGTTTTGTTGCAGAAAGGATGAGAAAGGTATCAATCTGTGATCAGTTTGGTTCACACTCATGACTCACAACCAACACCCATTTGGCCATGCTACCAAATATGGGTCGCGGTCAGAACCGCAGGCATTTGGAACGGCGGATGAACTGCTCTTTTTTTCCGGGATCAGTGCAAGAGACCCTGACCTGACCATTGAACTATTGGATACCGAGTCATACCATATGTTGTTAGTTAAGTGCCCGATGATCTGTGGTTGCATACGCACATACTGGACAATTATATATATATATATGCATATTTATGCATATGTATATATATATGCATACACATACACGCTTTACACAGACCTTTGATACAGAGCCGCATATGATCTCCACACCTTCTAAAACAAACATCTGTTTCAAGCTTTCACGCGCATGCTTTCGCTCATGTAGGATCGACTTCCAGATTGCTGAAATTGCGGCTGGGCTGTATGGAAATCTTTGAGCCTTTTTGAGCCTTTTGATGGAGATGTTAACCCCTGAAAATGGGGAGATTTGCTCACAAATTGCAGATATGGGGATTGCAACCAAAACAGATGGTTTTATTTTGGGCTATACTGTACTGCTGGTTCAATGCTGATAGTGACCTGATTCAATGTGCGAAATTCAAATAGCACTGTTGGCACCGCTCATATCTGAGAGCATGTTTGCTTTGGATCAAATTAGCCCGGTGCCCAAAAACGGGGCTACCCTCTGGCAATTGAACATGGCTGGCTGGTATTTATGGCTTATTTACTTCGATGATTTTCCCAGCGAACGAAACCTCTGGTCCAGCTGCGTCTTGGGTCTTGACTACCAATATTGCAGTGTGGTGGCTGTTGCATCCTGTTCGTACTCTTGCGTTCGAACCACCAACACCATATACATATATATATATACAGTATATATATAAAATACACAATTATATATATATACATATATATATATTTATTTTACATAGTGTGATGCAGTCTACTTTAGATGTCACATCGGTGACCTGCAACAAGGAGTACATGCGATTTTAAATTGAGCATTTCAGCGTTCTTACAATCCTATCAGCAGTCTCAGCACAATGCATTCCTGTACTGAGCCTGTGCTGTGTGTTCAGGGGAATCTTTCTTAGATGAACAGCTCTCGCCCCTCAGAGTTTCAACAAGATATGCATTCGCCAAGAATGGCAATATGAGCAATCCCTTCTTCCTAGTAAGAAACACCCTAGAAGCGTTAATTTAGTATTGCATTTGTTCATTCATTTTGGGATCCTCTTATATGGTTGGGTTTATTGTGATCGGGGGCTGGGATTATGTGCGCAGCTGAGTTCTTTTGCAGTTACTATGGCTTGGAGTGGTTCATACGCTTTATGGCATTCGAGAGAAAGTGCAACTGCTTGAGAGATGGCTGGTTTGTTTTCGACAGCGCCTCGGCTTTGTTCCCAAATTTTAGGATGCCACATATGATGGATGATCCAAGAATCCAGCAGAATTGATGCCTCTAAAAACGGCCAAGATGGAAACTGAAGATCCTCAGCTGATTTTTAAAAGCTGAGTTCCAGGTGGGATGATGGAAACTATATATATATATATAAGTAGAGTATATCCTACATATTCTTGATATTAGTATGACTATAATATTTAGTTCAAATCAGCCAACAAGAATCTGCACTCCGTAGCCATTTCCCCAGCAGCTCGAGGGAGCTTGAACATGCTTGAAGAGTCGAAACTGGGCCATCTCTCTCTCTCTCTGCCTATATATATATACATATGGTGATCGATCTAAAGGTCCTTGTAAAGAGTTTTAATTGCGAAGACCGTTCATGTTATGCTGGGAACCCTCGCAAAAGTTTGTTTTGCGAGTTCGCAAAATATTTTGTTTATTCGCGAAAGCTTTGCGAAAGTTGGATATTATGAATCATTATCATTGTATACATTACAGCTTGTTAAGGGCTACCACCTCCTGCCGCCCGAGGGTCCGGCAGGAGAATGGTACCGCACATTTACCTTTCTATTCATAGATAGCAGCCACGCTTCCGAAGGTGAGGCTTCGCCACCGCCAAATACCATGGTCAACCTGGCAGGTGATGAATGAATCTTCACAAGAGGAGTTGTTGCTCAACATGGGTTCCGCGAAAGATAAACATGGAGTTCGCGAAAGATACGCGAAAGAAAATTTCTTTATTCGCCAAAAATGTCCGTTTGCAGATGTTTGCAAATAAAGGAATCTAGATGAACCGCCATACGCACATATATATATATACACACACCATAATTTATCGAACTAATTGTCACAGTCAAAGATTCTAACACCAAGTGTTGGTATTGAAATAATGATATTTCATGATATTGCCATATGGTTTATTTAATCATTTTTGTTGTGCATTGGCCAGCCATGTGGAGATTTCGTGATGGGCCGCTGTCCAGTCTCTTCCCGTCCCATACTTCTCATAATCTTTACAATTTTGGTATCCCCCAACCTTTAGGAAAACCCACATGATTGATCACCAGAACTGCGTATTTGAGGCTGCACCACCACTTACTGTTGAATATATCCGCATGTAGACAATACCCACTAAGCAATGGTATTACACTGGCAGGGCCGCTACAGTTTGCCTGTGCTTTTTGGTCCTAAAGCGTGACCTGAAATGGTACTGATGTGAAGTGCTTCACAGCCGCCTGGAAGATATGTTGAAGTCATCGTTTCGCCTGAGGTATTTTAGTGTTCCTGATGGTCGGCGAAACGTCCCCTACGACTTGGCTTGGAAAGGTTTTTCTTGGATTCCAACATTTTTGTAACCTGTTTCCATGACAGGTTTGGTTGCAACGACAACTACCGAAGAGATTTACAATCAAGAAAAATACCACAAGAGATGGACTAGTTGAAAGTTCAGATATATTGGAGGAAACACCACCCATTAACCACTTGGGTGTGTCTAAATCAGTGGGGCATGACACCATACATTTTTTTGGCAAATTTTCAACAGCGCGAATGTGACCAGTGGTGTTTTTTTTTCCCCACCGTGACATCATCATGGGATGGTGGAGAATCAACCTGACAACCTGATAACCTGTATCAGGTCCTTCCAAAATATGCAGTGTATGTATATATATATATAGATACTGTACACGTACACACATGTATTTATACGTATGCGTATGTGCAAGTATGTGTAAGCATGTGTAAGTATGTGCAATAAGTATATGCATTAATTATATATATATATATAAAGACTGTACACATTTCATGACATTGCATTACATTGCATTAAAATTCATGCGCACATACCCAGATTACATGGGTGTGTGGTTATTGTTACTTCTATACTTGTATCATCCCAACTTGAGTAATATGGTATGTCGGGGGTTCTTGGTCCTGGTTGGTAGAACAACCCCAGGTATCTGCCAGCTGGTTGGGTATCATAAACTTGGGATTTATGAAAACACATACTGAAGAAAAAAACTAAAAGTGGACCCCCAACCTTCAGATTTGACACCCAACTCAGGTTTGTGGTTACCATGCTTCTTTTGATCATCAGTCAAGATGGCCCCACGAGCTTTGGATTTGGCAATGCAGCCTGGCAGCGAGATGTTTCAGGGCTTCAGGTGCTTTTGGCAAGGCCAAGCAGCTTTTGGACCAGCTCCCCCTTCCAGGATCTTCTAGTTGTTTGCACATTTATTTTTGTGTGCGGAGGTTTCTGAACATGGTGTACATGCAAGCCACCCACCTTGTGATAGAGAGAGTCCACGGGTAGCAAAGGGTTTCCCCATTTCCCCTCCTTTTCATAGACCCATGCGGCCTGTGGGGCTCAGATTGATTTTGTCACCCACTATATAAATTATTATGAATTTGCAAAATCTGGATCTCAAAGATGATCAGCCGTGGGCCAAAACTGCAAGTTGCCATGCGCCACTGGGTACTTTGGGGTGCCCATAAAAAACAGGGTAGTTAGTCATGTACAGTCAGATGGGCCTGCACTCCATGTCAGGCTGGGCTCAGACAAAAAGGCCAAGGCCAGCCTAAAACAAAAGAAACAACGGAGGCGCCAGACCAGGTGAAACATGACAAAACATCGCGGATCCCTGGGTTTTACAATTTTAACAAATGGATTATTGTGGATTAGTCCCTCCAATGGTAGGATATATGATATATATGCCTATGAAATTCCCACTATATGGATGACTCAACCGCCGACCTCGTTGGATTTTCGGCTTGCTTTAGGGGTTTTCGATTTGCAGGATCCATTGAAACCCAGCAACGCGGGCGGCCCCAAGGCCGGCATCTTACGCCTCTTCCGGCTGCTGCGTCTCACGCGCATGGCGCGGATGCTGCGGTCCATGCCGGAGCTGCTTGGATGATTTTGATCTCGACCTGGAGGAAACATCGAAGCATCCTGGAAACACAATTCTACCCTCTGGTTATGTCAAAATAGCTATTGAAAATGGGCCATTTATTATAGTGGATTTTCCCATTAAAAATGGTGATTTTCCATAGTTATGTTAGTTTACCAGAGGGTATCTTTTTGGGGATTGTACATGATTATCATGATTGTACTGACACAGGGATGCCTCTGAAAAATCAAGACGCACTGACGCATTGGGATTTATAAATGGACCAGTCATTTTTATCACCTTGATCATTCCATTTCCTGGGGATCAAGTTGAACTTTTTTGCACATTCACTATCTGTTCCAGTTGATTTCACGGCCGTCTGAATTGGGGGCGCCTATTTGCGACTGGACGAAACCGTTGCTCCTTCACAAGGGGTCACCCGCTTGTTTCACCATCACCTTTTTGACGCCCTTTGGCATGTTGCTAACGTAAGTATGCGAAAGATATCTTAACACAATTTCCAGTAGCTAAATCATCAAACTTTTCACGGTCCAGGGTTTCGATAGCAAAGTGTAAGAAATTACATACTAGAGGATATATATATATATACATGTATACATATATATATATATATTCATTACATCTCATTGATGATGTTTAAACCACACTAGTCAGCACCATTCTTTATGTTTATCGTTGCCTCAAAGTCGTCACGTTTCTCGCAATTCTCGGTGAATCGAGGTTGATGATTCTAATCAAGGGAATGGCCGCAGCCACCACCTCTGCAGCTTGGGCACTTCGATGGTGGCTATCGTAGAGATCTTGAAACGGCTGCATCCCAGTCATAGTCGGTACATTGTTTATAAATGTTGACATAACATTTGTATCTTAATTTATCTAATATCATCACTGGGATAGAATATGGTTGCTACCCACCTAGTTGTAAGCTGTGTTCAATGGTGGCTTTAGCGGGTAAAGCGATGGAGCAGTTGGTTTTCGGTGGAGATTAGAGGAAATTTGAGAAACCCCAGAGATTTGTAGAGAAAAGCGGATATCTCAGAAACCCAGTGAATCTTCTATGTTATCATCATATTTCCCATTGGAATTGCCATAAACTGTGGTATTTCCCATTGGAAATGTACCCCATCCTGTTTGCCCTTAGTATCTGCTTCATGTTGGCGAAGAAAGAAGAAATCCACATGCAGTGACTCAGTGCCTCTTGTGAGAGTTAAAAATGACAGTTGAACATGATTAACACATATATACTAAACACATTTTACACATTTTAACCTCTGATAAAAGCACATTTGCAAGAACTGTTGGCCAGTGCTTCAACTTCTCCTGTAGGATTGCAGGATGCAGGATGTCAATCAGCAGACCCCCATGGTTCCCCGTGGTTTCACAGTCATTTTCCACACCAGGCAATGGAACATTAGTGGCGGCATCTGTCACCTTTTTGTTTGGTGGGCTGGGGCATCAATTAAGCCATAAGAAATTGTCGATGTCTATCCATCCATGATCTATCACAAAAGAAACGCTATATCTCCTACACTTTTGAATGTATATATTATATATATACATACACTATATACTATATATATGTATGTATATGTATGTGTATATATATATATGTATATATATATATATAATATACACTTTGCCCAGTCGCAACTTTCACTTTGAACTGCCCGACCCAATTTCACCCAACCACACCTGGCATCCGACATAGCAGCTGCTGTAGGTATTTTTTATCATGTGTTTGCAGCTGATTTTGCTCTACGTTTTTGCCATAGCACCTTGGGGGAAGAGCGTTTTCAGGGCCATGGGATGTTTTAAAAGGCCTGGTGGTTTCAAATGTTCATGCTTCAAATCTGCGATTCTTTTAGATCCATGGAAGAAAAACAATAATATATATATATATATACTATATATATAAATACTGTATATATATATATATTTATATAAATACTGCACATATATATATATATATATATATGAAATTGCATACAGTGCTTTGCCCAGATGGACCTAGACGTGGGATACCTGCAAGTGAAGAGAACAGCGCCACAGTAGTTCGATGGGTCATTCTAGGCATGGTCCAAGTCCAAGTACGCGTCGAATTGTCCAAGTCGAAAACAACCTTGGTTAAGGAAACATGGCAGTGCGAACTCACAGGAAATCCCCGAACTCAATGGATGTTTCAAGGGAAACACATCGAAGTAAGACTAAATGGGTCATTTTCCAGCGAGACATGTTTGATCACCAGAGGGGTACCTTTTGTTTGGCGCAAGAGTGATGCCCCCCAAACTTACAAGATATTATAAGGTCTTATAAGTTGGTTTCAGAAACAATGTTCCTATTATATATGAAACATGTACCTGTAAATATATATATATATGTTACTATTACTGTACATACACACACATATACATATATACATATACATATATACATATACATATATACATATATATATACACATATATATATACACGTACATATATAGCATCTAAACATAGATATGCCATGATGGACCGTCCATAGACCCAACGAACTATGTGGTTTCCACACCGAAACAAGGATGGCCTTGTTGCACCGAGGCCTTTACACAGCTCGCAGCGGCGGCTTGTCGCAACGGACATCCCGTGATCGTTTAGATGTGTGTGTATATATATATATTATGTATATATATATATATTTATAAGGGGAAGTACCCATAATTAACCCAAACTCACCTTAAAAATTGGGTTCGTGAACTATTCTGATAGATATGATTCAACCAGATACCTTTGAAGTAAGGGACACTACAAAGATCAAATTTTCGAAGAACATATTCACGAAACTAGGTCAAATCGGAGACACCATTTTTTTTTCGGGACATGAATACCACATGTCATACACGTTGCATGTTACGTTGATGTCTACATAACATGTATGTGTACAATACACACACACACGTATTTGCATATATAGATCGTATGACCCAGATCTGATGTGTTTTTGCTTCCACTCTTTCCCTCTCCCTCTTTATACATACAGTGTGTATACCTCTCTCTCTCTATGTGTGTGTCTCTCTCTCTCTCTTTCTCTTTCTGTATACATACAAATATACACATACACATAAGGATGTGATGTAACACGTTGGTTCTAAAAATCCATATCATATCATGTGTCAGATGATGAGTCACATGCAATACCAGAGTAGGTATATCAAGTGTCCAATGAATCATGTCCTGCCCGATCACTTGAAGTGTTGCCGGACTTGGGAAGAATGGAACACTTCTTCTCAATCTGGCCAGGATTGATATAGAGTTGTGTGTCTGCAATGAGAAGAGGGAGTGTCCATCACTTTTCTCACAGCTTTGAACAGCATCTCCCCATTGTTTTTAGGCTTACCCATGACATCATGACGACCCAGAACTGGATAGACCAAAGGATGACAGAAGTTTCGGCCCAGGATACTCAGATGGGTGCATACTACTTCCCAAATGTCCTGCACCTGGGACACCTGGGATCCCTGGGATCACTGGGATCTGCAGTTGTCACTGGTGGATAAACCAAGTGGCACTGGGCTGGTTTTTTTGGCACGACTGGAAGATGCATGGCTCCTACAATCGAAAACTAGGTCTAAATGTTTGGGTGCGATAATGAGCTCCGATGTACGAAAAGGAAGTCTCCACAAAAAATCTGATCAGTAAAACTCTGAAGCAGGGATTCCAAGGTTTGGATAATGAGCTCAAGTGTTAAGTGACTAATTAGTGGCTTTGGTTGATGGTCTCATGGGCTGAAACCACGAGTCGCAGATCCAGTTGTTTTTTTCAGGAGTTGCATCAACTCCACATCTAAATGGGATGGCCGTCACAGGCTTCTGGGTTTTCAATTCAATCCATACCCTCTGGTAAACAAACATAGCTATTGAACATGGTGATTTATAGTGGATTTACCCATTAAACATGGTGATTTGCCATAGTTTTTTGTTAACGTTTACCATTTCGGGTAGACTCTATGGAAACATGGAAGGGTCCCACTATCCCGCAGTTTTGGCCCTGACATCGGCCTTGAGTTGGCAGTGGGCCCCAGGCATTCAATGTACACATTGCTACTCTACGGCACGTTCTTGGACAACCTCTCGACCTTTTGCGACGAGGCCCTGTCGCCCTGTCCGTGTCATGGAATCTTCGACCTGGCTGTTGGTCGGAACAACATCAAACTGCGCTTTTCCACATTTGAAACTTGGAGATTTCTCGATATCAACTTGCCGGATTGGATGATCATAGATGTACCATGAGGGTCATGCCTTTTTTTTTGGCCAGAAGTCAACCAAACTTGCAGACATCGCTGAAAGGCTGATCACCCGTTGTATCCGTTGTTGCTGTTGGTGAAGTCTCCCAGCGCAGCCAGAGGTGGGCGCAGAAAGCGGACTTTGTTTGGCCCTGATCTTCGTTTTTGTGTTACTATCGGCTTGCACCGCGCCTGGGCCGCGACCCAAAATGGGGGAAACCCCATGATTTAGGGGTACCACAAATGGTTGGTTTATAGTGGAAACTCATGTTAAAATAGATGATTTAGGGGTACCCCCAATTTAGGAAGCCTCCATATGGTGAAATGGTGTGGCACACTGTGGATTGGACCTAGATCATCTGCAATTTGAATGAAGGATCTGTAGGTTGTTGGTGTTTGTTCCCAAAGGAGGACGAATCTTCCGGTCTTCCCCATATGGATATGGGTCAAAGCCCCTCCACCCTGGCAAACTAGCTGGTCTATGCTAGCATAGCTGGATGCCAAGACTCCCAAATACAGTAACATCGACCCAATAGTAAACAATCCCTAATTTGTTACCTGAACTAACCATCCCAACTGGAGGTTTCTTATCAGGTTTACCGCATTGTTCTACACCCATTGTTGCCCGAACTCGGGTAAATTATGACCTCACTGGCCTACTCATCCAAGCATGACCTTTCTTAAGACGGAACATGATGGACATGTCGTTTTTGGGGCCAAGCATAACCTCACCTGAAGTTTCCATCCACGCCTCATCGCCGTCACTTTATAATCTTTGTGGTTTAATGTGGCTTCATGTCCGAAGAGGGGTGTCACTCACTCATTCACTCACTCATTTATTCAGGCAGTTATTCATTCCTTTTTTCATTCATCCGTTCGTTCACTCAATCACTCACTCACTCACTCACTCATTCATTCCTTCATTTCATTCGTTCGTTCATTCATTCGTTCGTTTGTTCATTCATTCTGTCAGTCAGTGAGTGAGTCAGTCAGTGAGTCAGGCAGTCAGGCGTGAATTGATTCTTAAAAAAAACACTTTACTTCGAGTTATCCCCACCATGACATCTATACGTTTTGTTACTGGCAAATCTTCTGGCGTTCTATCTGACATATCTTCTGGCATTTTATCTGGCATATCTTCTGGCATTCTATCTGGCATATCTTCTGGCATTCTACCTGGCATATCTTCTGCAATATGTTCTGGCATATCTTCTGACATTCTATCTGGCATTCTATCTGGCAAATCTTCTGGCATATGTTCTGGCAAACATTCTGGCACTTTATCTGGCATACCTTCTGGCATTCTATCTGACATTCTATCTGGCATACCTTCTGGCATTCTATCTGGCATATCTTCTGGCATTTTATCTGGCATATCTTCTGGCATTCTATCTGGCATATCTTCTATTCTACCTGGCATATCTTCTGACATATGTTCTGGCATATCTTCTGGCACTCTATCTGGCATATCTTCTGGCATATCTTCTGACATTCTATCTGGCATTCTATCTGGCAAATCTTCTGGCGTTCTATCTGGCAAACATTCTGGCACTTTATCTGGCATACCTTGTGGCATTCTATCTGACATTCTATCTGGCATATCTTCTGGCATTCTATCAGGCATATCTTCTGGCATTCTATCTGGCAAACATTCTGGCACTTTATCTGGCATATCTTCTGGCATTCTATCTGACATTCTATCTGGCATACCTTCTGGCATTCTATCAGGCATACCTTCTGGCGTTCTATCTGGCATATCTTCTGGCATTCTATCTGGCCGTTGAGGTCCAGCGGTGCTCACTCAAGCTAGGTCCAGGGTCCAGGTTCCCAGTGCGCTCAGACCCTTGCAGTTGAGGTCCAGCAGTGCCCACTGCGTGCGGAAGTTGGCGAAGAGCTTGGCGAAGAGTTGGCAAGGCGGAAGTGAACATGGAAGTGGAGGCAGAGGTGGAGGAGGAGAAGGAGGAGGACGAGGAGGAGGTGGAGGAGGAGGAGAAGAAGGAGAAGAAGGAGAAGAAGAAGGAGAAGAACAACTCTGATAAAATCTAACAACCCTCACCTGGCAGGTGGGGAATCATTGGTATCTCAAGATACACATCACAACTTTAACTTCCACTGCTTCTGCGCCTCACAAATTTTCCCGTAGGTCATTGATTTCTTATAGCCGCGTGAGTGTTTCGAAAACTTCGGGCACTGTCTGGTAAGTATAACTGATCCCATCGGTTGTAACTTCTGAATTTGAAAGCTTCAAAAATCGGTTTCCCCCCATGTTTGTTTCCCCCATGGTTTCACCATTTAATCGGGAGAATTTCATCGGGACATCGAATCACTTTCTGAGGTGCTCAACATGTTGATCGGCATTCTGTGTGAAGTGGTCAACACCGTCACGACGGACGCCTGGATGATTTCAGGGTACCAAGATGGGCCACGGGATAGCAATGGCCCAAAATATCCCAAACTGTTCCAGCTTCAGATGGCAATATGCCGGTTGAACCGGTATTTACCGTATTCCCCATTTCAGGACACCTGACTGGTTGCATCCATCTATTTGTAGCCAAAACAAAATATCTACTCCCTTCAACTATGGGCCAGCCACGGTGGGCGGACAACCCTGGAATATGCGGAATATGCTAGGTTTACAGTACAGCCTTCAGTACAGCATCAAACGTTGGCGTCAACTTCTTCAAGGTACGGCTTTAGGAAGGCGATTATGACAAATGCAGACGCATGCTGCATTTCCATGATATAATTTCGGCTGAGTCTGGGATTCAAAAACCAAGAGATGGTTGATACTTTTTGATTTTGGGCGCTGTTGCCTGCGCACAATCTCATACCCAAAGAGTTTCTCCCCAGATATGGGGTTGGTTCAAGATCATGGACCAACTTCATGGGTGAGATTCCAGGGTCGCCCAGATGGGAAACCCGGGAAGGCCAGAGTTCTTTTGTGGGGTTTCCAGAAACAATTGCTCAGGTGGAGAAAGAAGAGATGACGGTGTCACTCAGCCTGCAGTGGCTCCTGTAGACTCCTTTCAGATGAAGGGCAGAATTTCTCAACAGCTGCAGAGCATCACCTCAACTGTTGTTGGTCATCCCAATCTGAGAAGCCATCTCAAACCCAAAGTCTGTTCAACAAAACAAGGCTCTAATTTGGGAATGAGATTAAAATTACATGTATTTATATTCACATTTAACCCAAACATCTAGATTATAGACACTATGTATATATTTATGTATAAAGATATTATATATATATATATATAAAGATATTATATATATCTATATATCTAAAGATAATATATATATATACATTATATATATACATATTATATATATATATATATATACATAAATTATATATATATATACATATACATTATATATATACATATACATTATATATATAAGCAGAGGTGAGAAGAGTCAGAAGAGACAAGATCAGAAGAAAGAAGATGCAGATGCGCGAAAAGATAGGAAAGTCGCGATTCACTGTGTTTTTCCTATGATTTGTGGCTCCGGAGGGTCGAAAAGTAGGCTCGCTAAAGCGGCGGGTGCGGAGCCAGCTGCCAGATGAGACATGAAAAAGTGCACGCCGTTGTGGCGCGAAGCACATTTCCAAGTCAAAATGGCCAAAGCACTAGAGGAGCGGACCACTTTTGGAAGTTGCGATGTCGAAAAAGTGCACGCCGTTGTGGCGCGAAGTACATTTCAAAGTGAAAATGTACAAAACACACCATTCTCGGAGCACTTTTGGAAGTTGAGATGTCGAAAAAGTGCACGCCGTTGTGGCGCGAAGCACAGTTTGAAGTCAAAATGTACAAAACACCTCAGTTTCGGACGACTTTTGGAAGTTGAGATGTCGAAAAAGTGCACGCCGTTGTGGCGCGAAGCACATTTTGAAGTCAAAATGTACAAAGCACACCATGTTCGGACCACTTTGTTCAGATGTCGAAAAAGTGTCGAAAAAGTGCACGCCGTTGTGGCGCGAAGCACATTTCGAAGTCAAAAGTGTAAAAAACTGAGGGTTTTGAGTCTTTTTTGACGTGAAGATGTCGAAAAAGTAGACACTGATTAACTTAACTAACTTGACTAACTTAACTAACTTCACTAACTTAACTACCCTAACTTCGACGACAACAGCAACAGCAACAGCAACAGCAACAACAACAACACCAACCACAACAACTACAACTACAACTACTACAACTACAACTAGAACTACAACTACTACAACAACAACAACAGCAGCAACAACAACAACAGCAACAACAACAACAACTACTACAACTACTACAACTACAACAACTACAACAACAACAACTACTACAACAACAACTACTACTACAACTACACTACACAACAACTACAACCACACAACAACTACAGCTACAACTACAACAACAACCACAACAACAACAACTACAACTACAACAACTACAACTACAACTACAAAACAACTACAGCTACAACTATATGACTGCAACTACACTACACTAATTACATTACACCACAACTACAACTCCACTACGCTACAACTACAACTACAGTTGCAGTACATCACACTACATCCAACAGTTGTGGGTGAGGTGACGACTGCAACCATTGCAACCACTCCAGCAAACACAACTCCAACCACTTTTCGGTCAATCAGTGGATTCGCTCTGCCATCCGTGATTCACAACAACCAACGTCTCCTATAGGTTTCCTATTCTGAAACTTCCGCCACCGCCTTGTGCGGTACTACTGGTATTACATATATACAATAAATCTCCATGTGTTTCGTTGTCCTTTCAGCCCTTCCTGGCGCCCGGATGTCCGGAGGGTAGCGTTTTTAGGCTCTTCGTGACCAACAAACTGCAGAAGGTTCTCGATGAGTTGGACAGCAACAACGATGGGCAGCTCTCAAAGGCGCGGCACGGCAGCCGGGTCCAGTGGGTCCAGCTGGTACCGGGGAATTGTTCGTTTGGAAAATCGTGGTATACCAAAAGCATATGGAAAAACCATATGGAAAATCTTAAAATTGGTTTTTGAATTGCTAAAATCATATATGGTGTGGTGATGTTGAAAATACCCACAAAAAACATGGTATCAAAGGCAGGAGTTCACATTGTGGGGGAAAATGCCTAGCTTGGCCTAGCTGATCAGTGGCCGATTCAAGGGCTGACACTTCATGCATTTTTTCATACTAACACTATCTGACATTCATATGTATGTATGTGTATATATATATATGTATACACTATTCTATTCAGATGCAATTTTACATATTCATACGTTCATAAGGGAACTCAGTCTCCCAAACAATTTTCTTGGTAGATCAATTCATATTAATTCCTTCTTTTGCTGTCTTTGTGCATCCAAGGTGGTTTAGTAGCCCCTTGGGGCTCCTGGGGTGCATATTCCAGGAGTGTGACATCTAAAAATGAGGTTCTAAACTCTAAACCGTCAAATTTGTGTGTTTTATTCCCATCATTTTCAGCTGCCGAACCAATTTCTATGGATATAAATCCCATTATCTCTGCATGAAATCGTGTGTTTCCCTCATGAGATCCCCATGATTTCCCATCTGCTCCGCTTGCCAGGAGGAGTTTGAGCACATTTTGCAGGTGCCCGCAGCCGCGCGCGCGCTTGAGGAGGTTGGAGTGGACCCTGTGAGCATCGATTCTTGATCGGAACGCAGGGGGAATGGTTTTTGGGGGGATTTTTCATGAGCTTGCTAAACCCCTGTCGGTTGATGTTGGTTGATTATTATAGCCACTTTGATTATATGGGGTTTAAGCCTATTTTATATATCAAACTATTGGGATATGAGTGGATATGGCTGATAGATGATGGTTGATGATTAGTTCAGGGGATTAGTTCGGGGGTTATAATACTGAAGATGTTTTGTGGATTCTTATAGTTCGCTATCGGAATCTCTATTGAGGAGTGGAAGGACAGAGGATTTTGAAGAAATGCTCAAATTGGGGATAAAATGGGGATAGAACCAACAATCGCTGGGGTTCACTGTTTTTCTAGGTAAAGATCTGGTAATCAAACATTGCTATCTGAGAACTCCCCCGAACAAAGTGAAGGTTTTGATGGGGGATTTTCCGGCAAACCATGTTTGATCACAGCGTAAAGTTCGTAAAGAGTCTCCACTAATCAACGGTGGCAATGGAAAATGCAGGATTTCCCAGGTTTGATGATCTCAATTTTTATGGGACGAGGTTGAAGCGGTTTGGAACTGGGACCAACTGATTTCAGGGCCGTTTTTTTGGTTTGACTAATACAGTTGTGCCCGAACAAGCGGAGCAGCGATTGAACCCTAGTCCCTTTATATACACATACTTATACAGTACATATATATATATAGATACATGCATAATATACATAATATATATATATGTATGTATGTATGTATGTATGTAATGTATGTATGTATGTATGTAATGTAATGTATGTATGTATGTATGTATGTATGTAATGTAATGTATGTATGTATGTATGTAATGTAATGTATGTATGTATGTATGTAATGTAATGTATGTATGTATGTAATGTAATGTATGTATGTATGTATGTAATGTAATGTATGTATGTATGTAATGTAATGTATGTATGTATGTATGTATGTATGTATGTATGTATGTATGTATGTATGTATGTATGTATGTATGTATGTATGTATGTATGTATGTATGTATGTATGTATGTATGTAGTATGTATGTATGTATGTATGTATGTATGTATGTATGTATGTATGTATGTATGTATGTATGTATGTATGTATGTATGTATGTATGTATGTATGTATGTATGTATGTATGTATGTATGTAGTGTATGTAGTGTATGTAGTGTATGTAGTGTATGTAGTGTATGTATGTATGTATGTATGTATGTATGTATGTATGTATGTATGTATGTATGTATGTATGTATGTATGTATGTATGTATGTAATGTATGTAATGTATGTATGTATGTAATGTATGTATGTATGTATGTATTAATGTATGTATGTATGTATGTATGTATGTATGTATGTATGTATGTATGTATGTATGTATGTATGTATGTATGTATGTATGTATGTATGTATGTATGTATGTATGTATGTATGTATGTATGTATGTATGTATGTATGTATGTATGTATTATGTATGTATATGTATGTATATGTATGTATATGTATGTATATGTATGTATATGTATGTATATGTATGTATATGTATGTGTATGTATGTGTATGTGTGTATGTATGTATGTATGTATGTATGTATGTATGTATGTATGTATGTATGTATGTATGTATGTATGTATGTATGTATGTATGTATGTATGTATGTATGTATGTATGTATGTATGTATGTATGTATATTATATATGTATGTATGTTTATACCAACACACACATATATATATATATGTATTGTGTATATCACATACAAACAAACACACACACAGACTCATAGACACACACGTATGCATATATTGCATATATGTATATGTACACATTGGCATTCGTGTCCACCATGCACATCCACAATCATTTACATGTCATGCTTCGAGCTTTCCCCCTTCTGTCGCCATCTTGTAGGATAAGCACTTGACAACCCACCAGATCCAGCGTGCCAACTCACCTATATTGTTAGCTGAAGATGTACATGAGGCACCCAAATCATGATTTTTTTTGGGATAATGCGGTGAAGCCAATGTCATAAACCATCCCCATTAGAGGTTTATAAAAAATATGTTATGTTACTAATATTAGTTCTACCCCGATTTGGGATGATGTTTCTCATGATCACCATGGTTCATGGGATGGTCGGATGATCAGGGATGTTTCCGACCATTGATGCCTAATGTTGTAAAGATGCAGCACGCGATTGTTGATTGTAAACTGGGGGATACTACTTGATGATGTACTGTAAAACATGTTTATGTATATATATATATGATATAATATATCATCTTTGAATACAAGTATTGTGTATCTGTATGTACGAGTGTATGCATGGCAGCATACAAATACATTGTTTTTTTTTTTTTAAATATGTTCATATACCCGTACACGTATGCATTCACAACTACATGAACAGCTATACCGATAACTAAAACATAACTATGTAACTAAGTGTATAAACACATATCGAAGTAAATATGCAAGAGCTATATGTACATATTTAATGCTATCGATATATATATATATATATACATAGTCATATTTTTGATTCCACTTCTCCGTTGGGAACTTATTCCAATTGACCCTCTGAGTCCACTGCTTGGTTGGTGATGCTTGGAATGGATGATGGCAATCCCCAATATACAGAGGATAGGTACCAAGCTCCACTCATCATCAACCAATTGGGATTCAAAGTGCACTAAATTGCTGTGAAATGTGCCGCCTGATTTTAACATATATTGACACTTTCCCAAGCGCACTTTTTATTCGATCCTCCCATTATTGCCCATCACTACAAGTTTTCGTATGTGTTCTGAGAATGTTTTTCTTTGACGAATCTACCACAAATTCGCTGCGAATTCGCAAAAACAATAGCTGCGGTTTTGAACTGAGGTGGATTGCGGCAATTTCATCTTCGGGGAAGGAGGCTTGTGGAAACCTAAGCTGCTTCAATGATTGGTGGTTGACTAAGAGAGGGTATCCCATCTTTCTTGTAGAACCAATAGGCCAGTTTGGTCAATGGTGGTAGCTTGCATACCAAACGGGCCCCATTTTTTTCACAGAAGGACATTGGTGGATGGTCGGGGCTTTTAGTGTGATAGTTAATTCAGAGCCCGTGTGAAACAACTGACTACAGTAGTACAACCAACCCACAGTGGGCTCTGGATACTGTTTATTTGGAGCACTAGTCCCAATTGACAAACTTGCTGGTTTTCCCAGTCTAAACCACCAGCCATGCTGGATTTGGCAAGACCAGCAGTAGATTCGCACTTGCCAGACACTAACGACACATTGTCCCACATGGACCTGTAGGGCTTATCCTTATCCACAAAATCCCATGTACTGATACCACTCCTAGTATTCCAGTTCAAACCATAGACACGTGGGTCAAAATTTGAGACATCGGGGCCCGCTTTTTTTTCTTTCGCCACTTTCAGGATCGAAAACCTACTGTTTTCCGATATCTGCCATTAAAGCCCCCGATTTCTGGTCGCTGAATCCACTCTTTTTTGTTTGGCTAAATCCTAATCGTCCATCCTCTTCCCATATTTGTTTTCCTTGGCTGGTGACATTGTGCCGTTGTTTCCACTTTTTCGTTTTATTTTGACACTCAAATTCAACACTTGGATGAAGGGAAAATCAACGTTAGACCCCTATATTTGGGTAAAATCCATGGTTTCCAGTAGATTTTGCCTTAAACCAATCCATTGATAAACTGTTCTTTCAATTTTGATCCAGACCTAGCTCCTCATCACCCAACTCCCAGAGGTGGCACTGACCTGCCATTTAAGAAGTTCATGGAGGTCGGATTTCACTAAAAACCACGGGGAGTTCAGGAGATAGTGAGGATTCAAGCTGTAAAACGTGGGGGGTTAAGAACACTATGAGGAATTCAGCTGCAAACGGATGATTTTTTACAGCCCTGGCCAGTTAAACTGCCAGAAGGGGACTTCAAAACTAAGTTGCCAAGATGAGTTCATTGTTGATGTTGAGCGGCTTGTACTCCTTGGTACTCATCCTCTTCCAACATGTCGCCAGTAGCAGCGCAGTTGGTGTTGATTGATGTGCTGTTGGTTTGAATTCGGGTGTCCCCACTATTGCTGGCTTTTACATGCTGTTACCCCATCATGGGGTTCCTCAAATTCTCCTGACCCACTATTGTTATCTATTGTTTATTACCACAACTTGCCGCCCATTTTGGAAATGGCCTTTCCAGCAAGAAACCACCAGTTTTTTCATGGTCCGGTGACTCGACTGTTGGCATTGTGCTAACCGCCAAGCAATGGATTGGTGTGGCGAAAAATGATCGAAAAATGGGAGTAGAATATCTGACATCCAAGGAGTTTGACAGTTTTTATTATAATAAAAAAAATATTTTCACGGATTTGTTGGGACTTCCAAAGCATCAAAACACGGCTTCCCGTTACCATTGGCCAGGTGCTCTTGACCCTCCGAGCCGACAACAAATGCACCCTCAGCTGCTTGGCGGCAGCAAGCTCAGGGAGTCTGTCTCCAAGTGGGGGATACCCGAAATAACCATGACTTTTGGCCATTTGATGGTGAGCTACAACAAGTCTCAAATCGTTTTGGTATGAAACAGCGGAATGTGGTGGATCCATTCACATTGGCGTTCTGTTCTTGGAAGTTCATTGCCACTTAGGGGGATGGAACTCCTGAAACATGGAGCAAATCACTCGACTCAAAAGGGCGATCGTCCATAGTAAAAGGCTGAAAGATAAATGTGAAGATGTGAGCACAACCCCTGGTTGTCACAGGGGGTTGAGGTATGTACAGTAATTATACCAGTAGTACCGCACAAGGTGGTGGCGGAAGCTTCAAAGATAGGACACTATAGGTATATACATATATTTATAAATATAAAATAGGTATATATACATATATTTATACATATGTACATGTATATGCATTCTTGGATGAATTAGCCCCACAACGGATGTTTGGAACACAACACAAGGTAGCACCGTAGCACCTACATCATGATATTCCCTTGGTGTCACCGTCACCGTGGCAAGGAGATGTCATCAGTCTCAGAGGACAGGTGAAAAGCCAGGTGCCGTCACGGCGGTGGGGTCTCAGTGGAGTCTCAGGGCGGCTGTGTAGGAATACAGATGCGTCAATGGGATATACCCCCCAAACCTAGCATCCGCCGAAAATACCGTGTGTATAATATATATATAAATAAATATAATATATATATATATACATATCCGTGTAATTATGTGTGTATATATATACACACATAGCACGTGTATGAATGTATATACATATGTGGCATTGTATGGAAACTTCTGTTTTAACCTTCGAATGGTGATTTTCCCACTGAACTGAGCGAGCCCACTGGGGAGCTCCATCGTGCCAGTTGGATACCTTGGTCCATCGGCTGTGTGCCGATCTCCCAAACATCTTGGGGCTACGGAAGGCCCAGGTCGCTGGGCAGTCGGGGGTCCAGCTTGGTGTTGTCTCAATGGGGGGGTACCCCAATAGCTGGATGGTTTATTTCATGGAAAATCCTGTTAAAACGGATGATTTGGGGTACCCTCATTTTAGGAAACATCCAGATGTTGTTACTGACAGGGGGACTTTAACATCATTTAACCATATAGGAAATAGGAGAGCTAGAATACACATACGAATGGCGGCCAGATCAGAATGCCAGCCTCTAGCTGTTTGCTACTGAGACAATTCGTGCGGTCTGATTACCCAAGCAGAGTGGCAAACCCATCCCTGTAATCCTCCCATGACACCTCAAATGAATAGATCCAATACTCAACCAGGTTTTTTTTAATGGTGGTTCTGAAGGAAATATTCGGGTTTTAGGGATTAATTATATATATATTAATATATTTTTTGCGAGTGAGTCAACGGTACATCCACTGGCTATTGCCGACGAAAATCTGGGCTTTCAACGACCATCGAGCTCGGTCGTTTTTTTTGATCTGTAAGAGTTGGAGCTTGTTGGAGTCATGGTTTCTGAAGACACACACATATATAATCATATATATCATATATATCATATATATACATACATAGTATGGTACATAAATGATATACCGCACATATTATATACATATACGTCTTCAACATGTACCAACTCTTGGTCAAAGTCTCGTGATCTCCAGGCTGTTTTTTTGGTGTTTTTTTTTCTCAGCCATTTGGACCGCTCATTTAATAACAAGCCCCAAAAAGACAGGACAGTACAATCCCACTAAAATTGTGGTAGATCGCTTTTCTATCTTTTTGAGATCATTTAAGGTGGTTTCGGGATGGTGTGAAACAATTGGGAGCCCTTTGACTTGAATCTGTCAGTGTCCTCCACAAGGGATGATGCAGCGACTTCGCTCATCAAGCATCGTTACCCTCTGGTAATCAAATGTGTCTGGCTGGACAATCCCAGAGAAATATGGAGGTTTTGTTCGCTGGGAAAATCCTCGAACTATTGCTGGTGGATTTTCCATTGCCACGTTTGATTCCCGTAGGGTAAACATCACCTTCAGATGCTTGAGATTATTTTGATCTCACTGCTTTGGTGATTTTTTTTTGTGTACAAGCGTCATCACTCCTAGTCATCGATGATAACATACATGTGGATTGAACCAATTCAACACCCCAAAGGTTTCCCAGTTACAACAAGGGCCTAAGGGCCGAGGGCTTACCACCAACAACCACAAATGAGATCCGCTAGGGGCTCATCAAACTTCGGTTTCCTACAGTTTTTTTTTGCCGACTTCCCATGCATCAGTATCAGCCACATCATAGGTGCATCATGGCTTCATATCTTGACCGAACATCCTTTTTGCCGACTTCCCATGCATCAGTATCAGCCACATCATAGGTGCATCATGGCTTCATATCTTGACCGAACATCCCAATCTTCCCAGGGTTCAATCATCATTTCCCGGACTTGGTGGGAAGATTTGCAGGAACAGCGCATACTTTGGGAATACACAGCATGCTCAGTGTGGTTAGTTTCCCCAATATCCAATCCATGATATCCTCCGTTCCAATCCATATAATCCACATCATCATCCCCAGATATGTATAATCCCCTTATAATCTCCATATAACTCCCTTATAATCACCCAATCCATTGCCTGGCTGGCAGGTACCTCATAGTCGTCAGCAAACCGGGGAAATTTCCGTGGAGCACGAGTCAGCGGAGAGGGAGGAGCTGTTACTCGAGATTTGGGGACAACCAAGAATTTTAACATGGAACCTATTTATATATATATATACTGTATATATATATAATATATATATATATCCATAAATCCATTGAATGGGTTTGCATGAAATATAGATTGATATACATTTTTTCCCATATATATATATATTTCCATGTCCTATGTTCAAATCCAACATCCTATCGATCATTAACCAGCAGCACTTGTGGATGGGGCATATTAACCCATCATTGTTGGGACCATTGAGGTAGCCTGATGGGTTTCATGATTGATCATCAGGCACCATGGTGCACTGATGCCATGGTGCCATTCCTCCATGAATCCGCCAAGAAAACCCTATGGAATTGTCATGAATTATCCATCAAGCGGTTGATGCAACCAGCCTTTTGCTTTGACTTGGTTTTAAGTACCCTCTGGTAAACTAACATAACTATGGAAAATCACCATTTTTAATGGGTAAATCCACTATTTCTATGGCCATTTTCCATAGCTATGTTAGTTTACCAGAGGGTAGCAAACATGACGACTTGTCACGATCTCGGAGCTCGGCGCCACTGTAGGTGATGATTTTTTAGAGAGTCTCCCAAGAATCAGCCAGCTGTACAACCAATACGTAGCGGAATATATCAGATACTATGCATAATGATGTACTTGCCTAAATATTACTAAGCACTGCCCAAGCCTTGCTGGTTGATTGTTACTTCTCGGGTTAAACACACTGGTTATCGAATGTTTTTTCGATGTGATCCTTGGAGTTTGTGAACCAATCCGCGAGGAAATCCCTTCCAACCCAAAGCTTTGGGCAGTGCTCAGCTAGACCTGGACATCTTCATATTTTTGGGTGAACTGGATGATTCATTCTCTTTGGATGATGGGATGATGGGTTTCCATCCGCCTTCATGCATAGGATTCACATGCAAAATGCCGAGTAGCTAGATCATCGACCTTTATCTCAAGAGTTAGCCACAAATTCAAGAGCGTCTGCATCAGCACTCTGCCAACTCCGGATATATCATGAGCCAGTTATCCAAAGTTTGCCGTGCTGAAACCCTCCAGTAAACTAAAATGGCTCAAACTTTAAGATCTGGTTGGTGGTTTGACATTTTTTATTTTTCCATTTAGTTTTTCCATTTAGTTGGGAATAATGATCCCAGCTGACTAATATTTTTCAGAGGGGTTGAAACCACCAACCAGGTCATATTGGGTCCAACATGTATTTCCAAGAACCTTCCAATCCAGCCATCATCCAGCCGTTGCGTGGCAGCTGTCAGGACGACGCGGGCGGTGCGGAATTGCGCGCACTGGAAGCCAAGACAGATTCCTTGGAGGTGTGCAGATCACCTGGCAGGAAAATTCGAAGAATTCCGCACGAAAGTAGATGGAAAATCTCACATTTATAGATGTTTTTCCCATAAAAGCCCCTCTAGTTTTCCAGTCAGCCACGTTTGATGGCACCATTTCTGTGATTCCTGGTTCCTGCACATCCCGATAATTACTGGAGATGTCCCAGCGCCAGGTTTTGTGGGCATGACATGTCATGATATGATATATATATATATACACATACGCATACATATTGCATAACATATATATATAATGTAAAACATAATATGTGTATATATAGATATAATGTAATACATAATATGTATATATATATAATGTAATACGCATATATATATATATAATGTAATACATAATATGTATATATATATAATGTAATACATAATATATATATAATGTAATACTTAATATATATATATATATAATGTAATACATAATATATATATATAATGTAATACTTAATATATATATAATGTAATACATAATATATATATATAATGTAATGCGTAATACATATATATATACACATAGTTACAGTATACATACTAGCCGGCTACTTAAACTAGGGTGATTCTAGCAAAAAGATAGAACTGTGAATCTTCTTTTTTTGATAGGGATTGACTTTTCTATCTGGGGCAGATTACCTCGAAGTTTCGCCATGCTCAGTGACCTCCAGCTGGTTCACAGCTTCAGGGAACTATGGAGGAGATCTTGGGGAAGCTGTCTCTTCTATCGCAGCATTTTGAGAAACCGGCTCCCGTGGAGGCACCCGTTTCGGGGAGTGGAGAGCGCCAACTGATGCTATCCGCTTCGTTCCAGATGATTCAAGGAGAATGGCCATTTTTGAGAATCTTGGTATAGATGATGTAAGATTGCTAAAAAGGAGAAAACGTTGGAACATGGAGAATTCTTGAGATTTCTCAAGTTTTTGGCTACCTATCCAATCTGAACATAGCAATCATTGGGGCCTGACACTGTTGGGATGGGTGCTCATCTATTGTCAGCTATCGTTGGTAGTATTTGTAGGATTATCCCTAGTATTGTTGCTTATCTCATCTATCCCCAGCTTTGGAACCTGGGAGTTCTCCCTTGTTGACTGGTCAATTGGGTAAATCCAAGTCTTGTCCAGCCACAGTCTACCCCAAATTTTGGGTCACTTGTTGTGTAAGCCACCAACCAATGGGTTATTGTGGGTTCATCTTTCAATTTTGTAGGACATATCACCACTCTTCATGCTCCAATATATAGGTTTGTCTGAAAATATGGTACACCCCAAAATTCGATGGTTTCTCATACTGTAATCTCTTTGCGATTTTCCATGTTTTTTAGGGTATAAATATGGTATTTTTCTAATTGTCAGCATATGCAAAGTGGGTGGTCAACATCTCATCCCGCCAGGTGGCTGCCGTTCCCTTGGAGCGTCCTCTCTCCGGCGTGTCCTCGTTGCGCAAAACGGCACAGGTCAGGGCAAGGGGGGGAATTGAGTGGAAAAAATGGCGGGGTTTTCTTAAAGTGGATCCCCTCAAAAACGATCAAACACCCCATGAGTTTCAATACTAAGTCATGGTCTAACGACATCTAATGACTGGATGATCTGGTACCCCTGTTTTAGGAAACCGGCTGTTCAACTTGGAGCCTCCAGGTGGAAGCCTTCTATCTGCCCAAGCGCGACTACGCCAAAGAAGAGTTGCTGCGAAGCTTCCGGATGCGCGATAGCAGGTCCCAATGGGCTGGAGCTTTGAGCCGTTTGACCTGCAGATTGACCCTGATTTTAAGTTTGAAGGGCTTGAATCTGACTTACCCTCTGGTTATGACTAACATAGCCATGGGAAATGACCCATTTATAAACGGTTTACCTATTTAAAATGGTGATTTTCCATGGCTATGTTACATAACCAGAGGGTAAAAATCAAAAAATGAGGTCACACATTGGGGTTCCCCGTTCAGAACGTGGCAATCCTCTTGAGGTCATTTGAGAGTTGATTTCCCATGTGGGCCTTTTGCGCAAATCGAATGTGAACCCCAGGATTGATAGAATCTGATAGAGTACTACTAAATCGTCAGCCAACCATCTCATGATTGGGTACAAAATTTGGATGACCCAGATGATGGATCCAGGCATAGTCAGCCGCTACCTCTTGGACTTTTGCTGTGCAAGTAAGGTTAACTCCCGATGAACCCTGACTATTGAGTGGGTTACCACCAAAATACTCTTCAAATTTGGCACCTTCTAATAAACTATTAGCAAAATCATCAAAATCCTGGGTTCACATTAAGAGTTGCATACTTCCTGAAGATCCCAGAGACTGGGCACCGGAGGCACCCGGAGGCATCCGGATCTTCCGATTTGTCATTCGATCCACTCCCGAATTCACTTGCCTTGCCCTACCCAGCTAGTACATATACACACTATTCTATATATATATACACAGTATATGTATATAATATTATATAATTCTATATACATATATACATATATGTATATTCTCTATATATATATTATATATATGTACATATATACATGTTCGGAATTTCAGGCCAGAGGTATCCAATTTTGGGAGTTGGTGAATCTTCCAAAGGTTTTTCAATGGCCCAGCTTCGCCGACTGTCCGGTTTACCAGCTTTGCCCATCTGAAGAATGCTTGGTGGTCCATTGTTTCCCCCCCATTTCCATACCATTTTTGCATATTTTTGCACATTTTTGCATATTTTTGCAGGAGATATCTCGTGGCCTTGGAATTGGCTTTGGACGCTGAACTCGACTTCGAGCAGATTCCCTGTGTGCAGCCAGGGCACAGAACTGTCTGGGATTTTGTGGCCAACATGGGCGGGGGGTTCAAAAACCCGGAAAATCCAACTATTATAGCCATTTATAGCCATTTATAGGGATAATGATCATTAACCATTGGGTAAATGGGGTACACGACATTTTCAGACACACCCAACTGGTGATTTTTCTTTGGACTCCAACATTTGGACCACAGACATGTTGCTTCCCCAATCTTTACGCACAGAAATGATGAAATTAACCAACAAAACGATGATGCAATATGATGCAATCAGGAACAAGTGGACATGTTGGGTGGTTACCCTTTTTGGACTGGAAACGTTGGGGCCCTGGTGACCAAGATGTTGCGACTAGGTTTACACACTCGATTGACACCACTAGCATCCACCAACCATAGGCAGGTGTTAGGTGTTGAGACTGGCACATACTGCAAATATGAATCTGGTTGTGTCTGAAAATGGAGTACAGTATACCCTCCAGTGGCTGTTTTAATGGGGAACATGATGTCCCCATTCATATGTCCCCATCCCATTAAACATATCACCAAGTCGTTAATGTATGCGGTTAATATCATTAAGTGACCATGAATTCTCATTCATCCCCATGTCTCAGGTGTCTCAAGCCATGTCTCCCAAAAGCCTCAAGGTATCGCCTCTACCGCTTGGCCGAGACCTTCATGCTGCACCACAGTGAGGTCCCAGATGCCTCGGGCAAGATCACAGCGCAGTGCCTCGGGATTTCGATGGAAAATCCCATTGAAAATGGAGGATCAATGGGGGTACTGTAGCCCCGTTAAAAATATGGACCCCCCTTGGGAATTTGAGAACTTTTGTTTTTGATATGTCATATTTTTAAATGTTGATGGGTTCAAGTGGGAATTTCAACCTTTGAATTTGGCGCTTTGGAGGTTGTTTTCTCGTCCCCAAATCATCCATCTCAATAGGATTTTTGATTATAAACTATCCATCTTGGGGTATCCCCATTTATGGAACCCCAAAAAAATGGTGATTCAATCCATGTCGGCTAGCTGGATGGACCGGAGTGTGGATGGTTTCATGTGAACCATCCCAGACCAAACATGTCGATGTTTGATTCATCGAAGAACCCATCTGACTCATACTCTTGGAACAGGCAAAGCTTCGCTGATAAAAATAAACAGAAAGGGAATTGGCAAGAATTGTCATGCATTGGCTATGAATTTGTATTTGCCTGTTTGCCCCATTTGCAGGGGCTAATTCCAGCCGCAAATTTGAGGCGTTTACGAATGCGGTCTGCTTCAGTATGTCAGGCTATGCCCAGGCTATGCCTAAGACCAGCATGTGTTATCCCGTTTTTGCCGAATGGGGCGCCAGTATCAGACGTATTTGGATACTATAGACCCAACTTGAACTAATAAGACTTGCCATACAGCTTTGGGTTGAGATTAGGTACTGCATCTAGCCTGAAAATTAGATGAGCAACTTGAACTTGAAACTACATAAACTATCGATGTGGGCTTTGGTACCAGAGATTTTCAGATATTTTCAGGTATTTGAAAAGGGTCATGCCCAGTTTTCTTCGCTAGATCCCCACATTGATGGATTTGGAGCACCGCTGGGCCAGCCATAGCAGCCAGACAGCAGCTATGCAGTCAGCCGCTGCGGAATCTCTGAGAATGCAGCAAAATGCACAACAAATATACTCTAGTATACCTGGTTTCAATCATTTTCCTTTTTCCATAATATATGGGATAATCCTTCCCATTGACTTTCATATTTTTCAAGATCGTTAAAACCACCAACCAGATACTTTCAACAGCATGGTTAATTGGTTCTGTAAGCTACTGCTCCTAAATCTCATCATGGATCTGACCGATCTGACCTCTTGCTTTATAGGTTGTGTTTGATCCTCGACTACGGCGTGTCCGACGGCGCGGCGGCTGCGGCAGAGCATGCGCAGCGCATGGCGCGAGTGAAGAAGAGCTTGGAACAAATCGTGGAGGATGTGAAAAAGTTTCGGAATCCTTCCTTCCCAGATGCCTCGGTGGATCTGGAGACTTGGTTCTGGAGAATCTGGAGATTGGATGATGGGGATTTTCCCAAGCCTCTTTTTGGGGGATGCCATTTTCATTGGGATATGGGATGGATGATCCTACCATAATTATATATAATTATATAATAATTATATATATATATATTAAGCATGTAACTTGACCATAGCACATATCATATAATTAATTAAATAATTGGGATATGAACGGGCAATTTTAATGAGATGTATTATATGGTATACATGGCAATATCATGGGACTATGATAGGAATATCACCTAGATGCATGGAACATCCACTTGGATTCTTCTGGCATCTTAAATATTACCCCCCCATTAAACCAGTTATATATAAGTCAGTTGTAACCCCATTTATATCCATTTATGGAATGTTCACCCCATTTATCAAACAACGTTCCCGAGGAGCTGACGGCCATCGCCTACAGCGACTGGGACGAGATCTACGGCCGTCCCGCCGTCGCGGCCTTCGGCGGCCGCGAAGTGAACAGCGCGGCCAGCGGCCCGTGGGACTTCAACTTGGGTGGCCAGTGACATGGCGCGCGCCTGGCTACCCTCTGGTCAACCGAAATCGCCGTTTTTGAATGTTGGCTTGGGAGGTACCCTGCCGGGTAAACCAACATAGATGTGGAAACCAATGGTTTTCGTAGGAAAACGATCTACGAATGGTTTTTTTCACATCTATGTTAGTTTACCCACGGGTAAATCAATGCAATTCCGTAGTTCTGTGAAAATACTGAATACTGGAGGGTATAAATGCAAAAATGCAACGCAGCGGAGGCAACATCAACATTTTTGCATGTTTGCAGTTTGCAAAATCATGTGCTGAAACATGATAGCAGATTGCAGACACGGACTTCGCTTGATTTCGGGCAAACATCAGCCACCGAGTGAAATATGATTAATGGCATCAACAATAGGTTAATTAATTGAATATATATATATATAATATATTTGAATTCAAATATTATTTATTCAGTATTTATTCAATCGTTTATTATACTCAATCATCTACTACATATAATATATCTACATATCATTTATATTTATATTAATATATTTAATATAATGATCACACATTTCTCAGGTCAGGTTTACATATAAATCGTCAATCACTACATACATTTACAACTATAAAATATATCACAAACACATACACATATAGCATATAGCATATGAATATAGCATATTATATATACATAAGTTCTACTGGTATATTCTACATTATTCTACAATAGGAAGCGATGGATTACATCAATTTCTTCAAAAAAACCCAGGATCAGCGCCCAAGGTTCACCCGCGACCCACTGGAGCTACAGAGATGGATGGGCTCTGGCCGTGCGGGGCGCGGTTCGCCTTGCCGCGAGCTGGCTGGAGCCTGGTGGACGGCGGCGCAGCTGCCCTGGAAGGCGCGATGGCCAAAACTGGTGATTTTTGGGGCAAAAATGGGAGAAACTGGTGATTTTTGGAAAGGGAACATGGAAAAAGGTACGTCTTAGCCACTTTTTGGGAGGAATTTGACATTTTAACTTACCTGAGGTGTTGGAGACACTTTCATGTATTTCACTGGACTTTATTGGACCATGCTCTATAAAATCTCAACCAATAATGGAAAAAATGGGATTAACCAGCAAACATGTGCATATAATCAGCAAACCAAGGAGAAGACATAGGATTTCACCTGCAAGAAAAGGGACTCATCTCGATTGAGGCAAAACATGGGAAACATGGGACATTAGAAGTTAGAAACAGGAAGAGCAGTCCGAAGGGTTCAACCAATCAGTGCCATGCTCACAAAGCTGGGATTTTCCTGGAAATTTGAGATATTCCTTATATTCCCCTAGATCAGACTGACACTGCCTTTTTTAAATAATTAACCAGGTCAAATCTGGGAGATATCCCAGGCGCAAAAGAAACTGGCCTTGGTGATCACCGATGCTCCCTGCTATGGCAAGGACTTGCTGACTCACTGCTGACCATAGAAAGTTGCCAGTTGTCAGCACTGCCCATGCTCTGAACGTGTAAAACTATGCATAGTAGCTATAGTTGCCTACATTTACGGTGTTGTGTAAGATCAACCACGGAGCACATGGATTGGCAGCAAGTCGCCCACCATGCTCGAGATTTTCGGCCCTGATGGCTACAGAAAAACTAATGGCTAAGCTCATGATTTTTTTCAGGCGAGGAACATCATATCTGAGAAATTGGGTGATTGGATTTGTGCTGGTCAGTGCTGTGACATGTCCTTCTCATCTTCATCTCGAGGAATGATGGTTAAGAACTGGATTCCCAGGTGATTGTGACAATTCCCGTAAAGATTGGATAAGCCCGTAGGCAATCATCGTCAATCAGCACAATGTGGTGCTCCCCAAGTTATGTTTGTTGGTGGCTCGGTCGACCTGTAAACGCGCACTTTCTTATGCGCTTTTCCCATAGGCACAGCGTGTTTTTGTGCATTTTTTACCACGTATATCATGGTTTCGTGGGGTGGGGTGGGGTGAGATGATAACGTTCATGTTACGCGTGATGCACAACGCATTGCGATGTTGATGTAATGTTCGCGCACGCTGACATCGGTACGCAGTGCTACGTTGATGGGTGGGGTGGGGTGGGGTGGGCTGGGGTGGGATGATAACGTTCATGTTACGCGTGATGCACAACGCATTGCGATGTTGATGTAATGTTCGTGCACGCTGACATCGGTACGCAGTGCTACGTTGATGGGTGGGGTAGGGCGGGGTGTCTTTTCTGCTTTGAATCATGTGATCTTCTGTGCCAGTGAAGTCGGATGCTAGACTTTTGTGACGGTTGAAGTGGAAGGCATGTTTGCTTCAACTGCATCCGTTCGTTTTTCCCTTAACGTCACCGACCGTCGAACTGAAACAAAGTGACATGACCAAGCAGCAGCAGAAGACTTTGACAAAGGCCTCGAAAGTCTTGAAGAGACCGGCGGCTTTGAAAAGGAAACAATCCTTTTTGATCGTCGGAGGCGACAATTCAACAGAATCTGAAATTAGTCGAGTGAAAGGCCAGATGCGCCGCACCAATATGCTGGGTAGAATCAGCCCACGCAATGCTCAGGTGCAGCAGTTTGCTGCCAAGCGTCTCTTAGAGAAGCCTGGGTTGATGCCTCTGGTGACGGCTTTTGCGGAATATCGCAGAGATCGAAAAAAACAAATGGGTATTCAACCAGGTCACGCGTTTCAAATTGAGAAAGACAACGCTTGGGTCCCATGAAAAAAGGAGTGGACGCGCCTCCCAAAACCAACACCACGAAACCCTCATATACGTGGTAAAAAATGCACAGACACACGCTGTGCCTATGGGAAAAGCGCTTCATGAAGCGCGCGTTTACAGGACGACCGAGCGTTGGTGGTTTATAACCACCACTGACTATCTACTGTAGTTTGCTATATCCACCAAAATTTTCCCCCAGTTGTTGGATGGTTGTTGGATGGTTGTAATCGTCAAGCAACCATCCTCATTGCCAACATCATGACATCGATGACATCGTCATTTTGCTGCTTGAAACATAAGTTTCATGGTTAAGACCCCGAACTATATAATCCTCAACCAACAGGGCTTTTGCAGAAGTTTCTCATGTGAATCACACCGTTCCGGTCCTTTTTTTTTGAAGAGGACTACAGCAGTGTGGCCGCAGCAGACTCTCGTTGCTGCCTGGCAGGATGATAAAACCTTGGGCTGGATGTTGTTGGATCATGGGTCCTGACTTTCCATGAATTCTCATGATAAAAACGTGATGTTTTTCGGGTTGTTCCCAGCAATTTCCGCACAGCAGCCTGAATAATCTTTTTCCAGCCACGTTGATAACTTGAGCAGCTGACGGTATTCATAAAAAGATTGTATGGGTGTGTCTGAAAATGAGATAAACCCGAAATTGCAATTTCAATGTGGTAATGAGGATTAACCTGTGGATTGAGGCGTGCAATATTTTTAGACAAACCAATATGCATCCATTGGTTTACAAACAATGTAGGAACCCTTGCAGAGAGTCTTGCTTTGGCGAGCATGTCAAAATTATCCCTCAACAATTGGCGACCTTTGGTCGTTTTCAGTTTGGCGAATACATAGCGCATGTTGCCATCATGTTCAACATATGTGTAATTTTGGTTTTGTATAGCGTTGCTGGTTTTATCATACTCATTCATTGATTTTGAAGCTGATCAAAACTCCATTCTTGGGAACAAGCACCTCCAAAAAGGGTTACAGTAGACACCCCCCCAAAAAAACTAAAACCACCATTTTCCCGCCATTTTCGCATTTTGCCACCATTATTTTGGGCCATTCGGAATGGCACGGCTTGAGATTTCGAACAGCTCCAAGGCGATCCCCGTAGCGGGCTCACCTGCACGGGGCGACCAGAAGAGCCCCTGAAGCGGCTCTAGGTGGGTACAGTATATCACCAATGGGGATATGATTGGTATATATCAGTAGATAATGGTATATATATATGGGTATGGATCAATACCTATTAATACCATTTTTAGTGGGATGAACATCCATTTACCAGCTATTTTGATGTTCACCAGGGGTACAAGGTTTTGACACACTGCCATATATCAGTAGATAATGGTATATATATGTAACAATATATAGGTAATTATCGTATCAATAACCATCATAGATATTGATATGAATTATATCCCATTGATAAGATAATACATATATATATATCACCATCATTGAATAAGATTGAATCTATTACCAGGATACTTACATCCTATTTTATCTTATCCTTTGATACTGGGATCAATATCTATATCAATGATTCAGTATCCTGGTGATATATTATCCCGGCCTATCAATGATACGATGGGTCTATCACCAGGATAATATCACCAGTATAGGATTATTGATAAGATATAATGGGATATTATTGAAGGTTGATCGAATTTCAGTCATCAATGGGATTTCAGTCAGGCATGTAGGGTTATGGAATCACGTTTTTAATGGGGATATGGGGAAGTAATGGGAGATATACAATGGGTCACTATAGATATATACCCCATTTTGAAACAGGTACACTGCAGTAATCCCTTTCCCCGATCACATTTTTCATATCACCGCCATTTGTGCGCTACCCTACAGTAAGTCATGAATAAATCGAAGACGCACCTCTACAATATGTATATATATATATATCCCCTGGTTATTAAGCATTGGTATAAGAGCCATGGCCCATCTAGTTCGGTGTTTTACCTATTAAACAATGGTGTTTTTACCATAACTATGCAAGAAATTACCAGAGGGTTTGCTGGTATTTGCTGGCTGATGGTTTGATCCATGGAGGGTTGAAACCACAAACAAAGGAGGGACGTGACCCCTAAACAATTGCAAGAAAAGCTTCATAATAATATTTTCTTGAATAACTACATGGGAGGTGCATAGCTGTTTTTGACGGCATTGTTGAGCATTTTCTTTTGGGAACAGGAAACACACAGGCAATGAGGATCTGCCGCTGTTCCAAGCAACAGATCTAAACAGCGGCGTCCCAAACAGGACATCAACTGTCAATCAATCGCCCGATAAAGCCATGAGCTGCTAGTGACTAGTGCTTACATAGTGACATTGGGTGGGTTTCTGAGATCTTCACCCAACACTAGGTACTAGGCACCGCTGTTCGTCACATTTGCTTGATGCTTTGCATTCTGATTTGGGATGCTGAAAAACCCTGCTTGCTACCGTGGAATGGGTTGAAACCACCAACGGCAGCATTTGCAGATGTCTTGGTAGCATTTGTAGGTGTATTGGTAGATGATAGTAGAGACCTACATATGGATTTGTCTGAAGATCTTGCAGCCCTAAAAACCAATGGTCGAGTATCATTTTCCAGGGATATAATATGTACGTGCAGTTCAGGTGTCAAATGGGTATAACCGTGGGTTACAACCTGCATCAGCTGAGATGTAAGCCCTACAACTTGTGTTATATAATGTTATACACCCATTTAATACACCCTCAACTGAGGCACCAAATATAGGTATGGCCTCATTTTCACAGCATACAGCTGCTCCAGTGCATCGCAGGACCAAGGAGTTGTGGTGTCCATCCTGCACAGTGGTTCTGCGGGTGCCGTTAGCATGTGTCACACGCTGCAAGCTTCAAGCCCTGAGCTGAGCCTTGGAGTGTTGGGGATGAACGGTGCAGGACGGTGCCAGAGGGAGCATCATCCCTTAGCGGCTAAGCCTCCAGTAAACATTGTCATAGCTACGGAAAATGGATGAACATGGACCATTTATAGATGATTTACTGTAGCTATTTAAGTAGTGATTTTTCCATAGCTATGGCAATGTTTACCAGAGCGCAACTGAATTGATATATCAGCACCACAGGTTCCAATCACTTTCTACAAATTATATATCATGGAGAATCCCATCAGCACCACAGCGCTTGGGTCTCGTCGTACCAAGGAGTCATTCCAAAGTGCATCCATCAGAGACAGCCCGAGGGCTAGTACCTTGACTCCAGATGGATCCTAATTCCAACCCTGGAAGCCAAGATTTTTTTTTCCCTCCCCCCGATTTTTTTTGTTTCTTTCCTCACCTTGCTTTTACATTTTCACTTGTCCTTAGATCCTGACTTTCTATGCTTTAGAATCAATTTCTTTTTGGGGTTTCGAGTAGCTTTGCTCCTTCGTGCTTGTTTTATCCGGCTGATTGCTTTCTGTCTACCCGTTTTCATTGATCATATTGTTGGTTTCAGAGATTCGTCCCAGAGTTTGAATGATGATCCCCCAATGTCCCATTCTTCCAATTGGGAAATAGCCTTGGAATCATGGTTTTCGGAAGGGGTCAGGTTTTCAGGGCGCTCCCAAGGCGCATGCTCTGGAGGAGCAGTTGCACCTGTAACTCGGAAAGATCGGTCCAGCCCCAGATACCTCACTGGGACTGGTTTCAATCCATACTGCGGCGATGAAGTTGTTATCGGCTCTGGGATTTTTAAATCAGCACCGAAAAACCTCGAAGCGGCCACAATCTTCTTGACATAAACATGTGGCAGTGTGTCAAAACCTTGTACCCCTGGTGAACATCAAAATGGCTGGTAAATGGATGTTCATCCCCCTAAAAATGGTATGCATAGGTATTGATCCATACCCATGTCATTTATATGTCATTGATGTCTTTCTATGTCTTTCGGTGACTCTTCACGAAGACGAGTCGCCGTGATGGCTTAGATGGAAAAGACCACCTCACTGGGCTAAGTGACATTGCTGCGAGCATTTGGGTGACTGAACATGGTGGTATTCCGACACATAGCCATTTTGGTGGTTTGGAACATGACCTTTATTTTTCCATATTTTTCCATTTCATATATGGGATGTCCTTCCCATTGACGAACTCCATCATTTTTCAAGATGTTTTTTTTAACCACCAACCAGCCATTTGAATAGAACCAGAATGATGAACCAATTGGACTTTGGGATATCAGATAGCCCATTTTCAGACAAACTCATGCCGGTTTTGCCACTTCGGTTCCCTGCAATCAGCTGGATCCAGTTGTTGATTGGCCCCCAAAGTTGCCACCAAGTGTGGTGGACCTGATGATTTGGGTGACCTGTTTGAGAATTTCAGAAGGATCGTAGTTTCCTACGGAAGTATCACGTCACCGGGGTGTCCCCCAAATTCCAAGGGACCCCAAAGCCGCTGTAAGTAGCTGCCTTGCAACCCTGGGGTACTTAAGTAATGGCCCCCCCAGTCTTGGAGATTTGTTGAATGAACTAGTTGCCAGCGCAGAGTAGACATGTTAATCATCTTTTATGAAATAATCCCTTCCCCCAAGATTAGACATTCCCCAGAAAGTATGGTTTAGTGCAGATATTTGAGACCACAGAATGGGGGTGTTTAATATGAACGGTGGATGTGATGGGATTAGTCACTTCATGAAGTGATATTATCGTTTTGCTGAGGAAACAAAAACGACATCCCGTAGTTCAAAACAGCCCAGTCGATTCCCCATTAGAACATATCGTGTATTTACGATGGACAAAACAATCACTGCAGCGGCTGAGGCAACCTTTGACCTACATCCTCAAGCCTCACATGTTGGAACTCTCCGCCGAAACACAGCTGCCACCAGACTCCAACTTGTGCCCCTTGGCGGAGGAGGACACAGAACCCCTGGGAGATTTTGTTGAGAACGAATGAAACACAAGGGATGGAGCAAGATGGACTTTGATAAGATGCACGAACAATGATCTTCTTGAAATTCCATGTTTGTTTTTGGGTCAAAGTGAACATGAACCACACAAAAAGTGCATGACAAACATTCCAACGGACTTCCAGTTCTTGAAGTGACTCGCCAGTCTTGGTTGAAAATGGGTTTGTCTAAACATGTGGTATACCTTGAACTAAGCGTTAAGGGGAAATGGATGGACATGGCATATTTTCAAACAAAGCTCCGCATCAAGGCCCATAGATGACCGGGTCCGTAACAGACCCGCCAAGGGCTGCTTTCTGAATTTGGGATTGTGTGAGAGCCCCAGTCCCAATATAACCAGAAAATACCAGAAATAATCGCACAATTCAGAAATCAGTAATCGCAGAATTGTTTCTAGTAATGAAGCATCCTGCTTTTGAATGGCCCTTGGTTGCCAATGGATGGGCAAAGCCTCGACCGAGATGTAACTGTGACCGGGCAACGAAAACAGGGTGGGCAAACTGTGACATCAAAATGCCTGCACCATACATGATGGGTAAGGGAAACCGCCTCGAACGTGATAAACATACGTGACAGATGATAACTATCCCCACTTGAATCATGTTGCTTCAAGGTTCATATGCCCAATTTACATGAGTTCTAAACCAACACCACTATCACAAATCCAATATCACTTATTACCAATCCCCATTTTTAATGGCAACATATGGGAAAATAACCTAGATTTGTTGGTGAACCATGGTTAACTATGCAGATTCTGGGATTTTCTTGTGTGTTTCAGTGAGGTGTGGCGCACGAAATGGAGGTAGATGTTGGGGGCCAGACTCAACGCCACACCATCAGCCTCCTGGCTTCAAAACTCGCAAAACTCACCAGCTAATGTGTGGACCTTGGTGGTGGGTTGATACTGTAGGACTCTGGCTGGAAATGGAGGAACATTTGGAATGTAAAGTCAACAATCCCCTGCTAAAATGATATGACAATTCAAAACAAGCTCCAAATTCATAGTGTGTGAAGGGCTATCTGAGCTGCTTGCCATGTTATCCCCATGGTGATTTCTTAATAAATCGAAGGTGGTGCAACCCAAAATCTCCAACTTTTTTTTGGATATCAGATGGATTCGATGTAGCTTGAATGGGTATAACCGTAAAACCTATGAACGATGGGGTTATGATGGGGTATGTATGAACCAACAGAAAGCAATGGGAATATGAACCAATGATCTATA